CCGTTTGCAGCAGAAAAGTTAACAGTTCCAACAGAAGAAATTGGTTGCGAATCTCTATGATAAATATAAATATGTTATTCATTACCGTCATTTACAAGAATGCCTAAGAAACGAACTTGTTTTATTGAAAATTCATAGGATTTTAGCTTTCAATCAAAAAGCATTTTAGAGCCATATATTTCCCTAAATACATCTTTAAGACAAAATGCTACATCTGATTTTGAAAGAGACTTTTTTCAAAAACAACATAATTAAATTTTTGGAAAATCTATAGAGAACAAAAAAAAAACAAGTCGTTGTTAAGCTAGTAAATGTATGGAAAGATAATTTTAATAACACAAATAAAGTCTGTGGTGCCGAAAAATATGTTAGTGCGCCTAATTTCAAAAATTTTACAATTATTTCTGATAGCCTCGTAACCATTCAACTCCGACCAACAAAAGTGATCTTGGATCGCCCAATATATGTGGACTTTACTATTTTGGAACTTGCAAAAAGTAATTTAAATAATTTTCATTATTCTGTAATGAAGAAAATATACAAAGATAATAATATCAAACTTTGTTACACTGATTCAGATAGTCTTTTGTATTTAATTTACACTGAAGACTTCTACAAAGATATGAAAGATAATATTAAGTACTTTGATACAAGTAATTTTCCTGAAAATAATATATACCATATTCCAAAAGCAAATAAACAAATACCAGGGTATTTTAAAGATGAATTAGGTGGTGATATTATAACAGAGTTTAAAGGCTTGAAAGTAAAATTATACTGCGTTAATACTTTGAAGTCAGCAATTAAAAAATCAAAAGGTGTGAAATAGCATATTACAAAAATATTAACTATTGGAAAGTATAGAGATATTTTAAATTCTAAGAAAACCCATAGAGACACTATGTACGTAATACGATCTAAGAATCATATACTCTATACGCAAAAAATAAATAAGCTCATTCTTAGTGGCAATGATGATAAGCGACAAATATGTGAAGATATGTATAAAACTTTTGCCTTGGGGACATTAAAGCAATTTATTTTAAATAGCATTATATTTAATTAATGATGAAATATGAAATAATGAAGAATTAAATGATGAAATAAAGTAATAGTAATTTATAAAAAATATATAAACATAAACATAATATGCAAATGAAAACAAATTACTTTATTTTGAATATTATTTACTGCAAATATGTTCTATATTGTAACTGGTATATCGTTATTATAACTCTAGCTAAAATATAAAAACCTTTATATGTAAGTTGAATTAAAAATACTGTATCATCATAATCATATTTTGTTTTATTTATTATATATATATTATATATTAGATCCTTAAATACTAAATATTACATAAAAACAATAGATTTAAACACACTTAACTTTTACAACAGAGTTATACATGTCGAAAAAATTAATCATATATTTATAGACATTTTATTAACATAAATTTTATTCATTGATTTCAAACTTAAATACTAGATTTGCTTAGTTTTTTTACCACTTTACAAACTAAATGTTCTGTCTCATCCATGATGTCATCATATGCACTTGTCACTAGATATTGCACGTTCACAGCTGCATTTCCAGATTCAGTATTTATTTCATCGATATTACGACCATCTAAATCATGTATTATAATTTTTATTAAATTACGTACATCACCCATTTCCTTTCGCATGATAAATGATGAATTTGATTTGATTTTTTTCTTTTTTATTTTTTCCTCCTATTTTTGGCGACGGCTCTGCTCGCACGTTTTTGTCGCCACTTCATCGTACCAGCCTTGCCTATCTTGAACATAGTAAAATGGATTGGTAATTGGGTTTGAGTCTTCTAACAAATTCTGAAAGCCAGATATAAAATTACTACCCATGAATTTAAAATCAATCAAAAATAATAAAAACTAAATAGTAACTTACCTCACGTATATTTTCTAAGCTATCCAAAACAGGACTGTAAGATGGTGTATGTGACATGTTACTGAAAAAACAAAAATGAGTATAAGTTACATATTATATTACATTTATAAGAGTTAAAATTACAATAGAAAATAGAATAAGTTACTTTATTATTTAAATATTTCATTTAAAGTACTTACTCCAAATTTCAGCTAAAGAAACAAACGTGCTCTTTATAGAAAGTACTGTAGCGAAATGACGTGATTGCGTGTTGTAAGATGAGAATTGTATAATATACTCAGGATTTGTAAGATCAGAATAGCATTATTTTGCAAAGTAAGCATAGATCTACTAAGAAATTTGTAACACGAGAATAGGAGAACAGACATGATGTGACATGCATTTCTCTCTAATACAATTGTTCATGCAAAATTTAAATATATACCTATGTTTGTAGGTTAGTAACTCATTCAATAAGCACGATGAAGTTGATCAAACAACCCATATCGCTAAGCGTTAGCAATATTAATATTGATCACTCTGCTCACAAGATCAGACATAGCATTCTTTTACCAAATACCATTCGATGTATAATATGCGGTCCCTCTAATTGCGGTAAAACAAACGTTGTAATAAGTTTATTGTTGCAAGAAAATAAAAAATTTCAAAATCTTTACTTGTATTCAAAAACTAACTATCAACCAAAATATCGTTTTTTACGAGTAGTAATTAAGAGAGTGCCTAATATTTCATTTTATGAGTTCAATGATAACAAAGACGTTATAGGTCCAAGTGAAGCTTTAAACAATTCTGTATTTATTTTTGATGATGTTGCTTGTGAAAATCAAATCAACATTCGTTATTATTTTTCTATGGGCAGGCACAAGCAAATCGATTGCTTTTATTTATCTCAGACCTACTCAAAAATTCCGAAACAATTGCTGCGAGACGATGCCAATTTTATTATAATATTTAAACAAGATGATGTGAACTTAAAACATATTTATAAAGAACATGTTAGTTCTGATATGTCATGGAATCAATTTAAAAATATTTGTAATATAGTTTGGAGTAAACCGTATAATTTTGTTTGTATTAACAAGACCTTCGATTTGCCGACGATATAGTCCTTATGGCAGAATCGCTGGAGGACCTAAGCACTATGCTCAATGACCTCAATAGTGTTTCCCAACGGATAGGTCTTAAGATGAACATGGACAAAACAAAGATCATGTTCAATGTCCATGTCACACCTATGCCGGTAGTTGTTGGAAGCACTAAGCTCGAAGTTGTTGACGAGTATGTTTACCTGGGACAAATAGTCCGACTAGGTAAGTCCAACTTCGACCGAGAGGTCAATCGACGAATTCAACTCGGCTGGGCAGCGTTCGGGAAGCTACGACACATCTTCTCGTCAGACATACCTCAAAATCTGAAAACGAAATTGTACAACCAGTGCGTGTTGCCAGTGATGACTTATGGAACTGAGACGTGGTCCTTCACTGCTGGCCGTATGAGGAAGCTCAAGGTCGCTCAACGAGCTATGGAGAGGGCTATGCTCGGAGTTTCTCTGCGTGATAAACTCAGAAATGAGGATATCCGCAGTAGAACCAGAGTGACCGACATAGCCCAACGGATTAGTAAGCTGAAGTGGCAATGGGCCGGCCATATAGCTCGAAGAACCGACAACCGATGGGGAAGAAAGGTTCTCGAGTGGCAGCCTCGTACCGGTAGGCGAAGTGTAGGGCATCCCCCTACGAGATGGAGTGACGACCTGGTAAGACATGCAGGAAGTCGATGGATGCAGGTGGCTCAGGACCGTGCTTTGTGGCATTCTTTGGGGGAGGCCTATGTTCAGCAGTGGACTTGTTAAGGGCTGTTATGATGATGATGAACAAGACTCACCGTTAAACAATGGCAGGTATAGAAAGAATTTTGATATTTTTTTAACCTAGAGTATACTATTATAAACGGGTTTTTTAGATAAAACTATTTAGTTTCATTGTAGCCGCGATAGAATGAAGTATTGTAAAGCATTATGGAAAAGCAAATTAAAATGGAATTAATGAAGTCTGTGGACTCCATAAGGAATAAAATAAAAAAAATGAAAAATAATGAGCATGAACTGAACTTATCCCTAGATAAAATGCTAAAACCTGTTACAGAGCCCCTTAAAATCATAGTAAATAAGCAAAAACCAAATCAAGACCATAATTTATCGATGCAATCATGCGCAAGTTCTGCTGGATCATTTGAATCGGAATTTCAGAACTATTACGATGCTGACTTGAGTTCTGCAGAATCCCCAAAAAATGAAATTAAAGACAATTCAGAGGCTTCATTAGATCGGAATTATATCTATGATATTTACGATGATAAATTAAATATACCATTTGGGATAAGAAAAGAAAAGAAAACTTACATGATGGGAAATTCAGAAGTTACTTTTTCTAAAATTGACAGTTTGGATAACGAAATTGTATTTTTAGTAAAAATTGGAGACAAATTTTACAATTATCTATCGGGTTAAGAGAACTTCTACTTAGAAAAAAACCTGATTTAAATTTAGTATCAAGCGCTAATAAACTCGTGTACAAAGATATTCTACACCATACTAATGCTCATAAGAGAGATTTTAACACTAGAGGTCAAATAAGAGGTGATAAGGGAATTAAATATCGAAAAATAATAAAACCATTATTTTCCGAGACCTTAATCAAATATAAAAAAATCGAAGAAAAGCTTGGAGGTAATTTACCTAAGCTTAAGAAATATAAAATCAACACTGATATTGTATATTGGGACGATCCAAATGAATTAGTTGATAGATTAAAACTTTTAATAGCTTCAAGAGATGCGGGCAATACAAATCATGATAATGAAATTTTATCGATCATTGAAGAATTAAAAAAGCTAACATTATTAAGGAATAAAATACTAATTATTACTAGCTTTTACTCAGTATTAGTGAAGTTGCTCGTGTTGCAAATTACTAAAAAAATTATCTGTATTTATTTAAGTAACAAGCAGCATAAACGAATTATTTTTAATAACTACTAACATAATAATAAAAAAATATATTATTTTTTGAACATGAGTAAAGCCGATGTAGTAAATGAAATTCATAGAAATGCTAGGGTGAATTTCCCGCGTAGACATGTTATTACGAAAGATATAGATGATTTATGGCAAGCAGAATTAATTGATATGCAATCAGTTTCTAAGGAAAACAAAAACTTCAGATTTATTCTTACCGTTATTGATACATTTTCGAAATACGCTTGGGCTTTTCCAATTAAGACTAAAAGTAAAAAGGACGTATGCTATAATTTTATGAAGCTCCTAAAAACACGTGTACCCAAAAATCTGCAAACCGACAATAGAACAGCGTTTTATAACGATAAGTTTAAAAAAGTTATGAATTCTTATAATATTAATCATTACTTAACCTTTTCAACAAAGAAGGCTTCCATAGTTGAACGATTTATTCGAACATTGAAATCTAAATTGTATTAAGTATTTAGTTTACTGGGTAGTTATAACTGGATAGGCAATACTCTTAATAATGTTACTTACGAATACAATCACACTTATCATCGAACTATTGGTGAAATTCCAACCAATGTTAAAAATAAAAGTAAAAAACGAATACTACAGACATACCTTAGATCGGTAAAGAATCATAATGTAAAACGTAAGTTTAAATTAGGTGATTATGTGCGTATAAGCAAATACAAAGGTACATTCGAAAAAGGATATACTCTAAATTGGTCGACAGAAATATTTAAAATTCGAAAATTACAGAACATAATTCCAACCACTTACTTAATTGATGATACAATTAGAGGTCAACCAATTTTAGGAGGATTTTATGCGCAAAAGCTACAAAAGACCAAAAATCCAAACATATATTTAGTCGAAAATGTTTTAAGAAAGAAAAGAAATAAAGTTTTAGTAAAATCGCTAGGTTTTTTTTGGTTGTTCAACCTATTTATGGACAGTTGTTTGGAAAATTTGAAAGTAGAAGAATGCGAGTTAAGAATGGGTGAGTTAACCGTCAAATGCCTTTTGTACGCCGATGATCAAGTCATACTTGCATCGTCGGCAGCCGAGTTGCAAATGATGGTTACATTAATGAACAGGACATTAAAAGAAAACGGAATGAAAGTGAACGCAAGTAAATAGAGCAAGTAAAAGACGAAAGTTATGGTTTTTGAAAGAGAAGACAGCAAAACGATATGTGAAATAAGAATAGAAGGGGAGTTGGTAGAGCAAGTAGATGAGTTTGTATATTTGGGATGTGTGTTTAGCAGGGATGGTAGATATGATAAGGATATAGAACGACGAGTGAATGCAGGAAATAGAGTGAATGGGGCTCTACACTCTATTGTGAAAAGTCAGAATGTGTCCAAAAAGGCACGTATGGCAACTCACAATGCTGTGTTAGTACCTACTTTAATGTATGGTAGTGAAAGTTGGGTGTGGCAGAAGAAGCATGAGAGTAGAATAAATGCTGTAGAAATGCGGTCATTAAGGAGTATGTTAGGGATGAAGCTGAATGACAGAGTGAGAAATTGTTTAATAAGAGAAGAGTGTGGTTTGCAAGATGATGTTGTGACCAGGATTAAGAAAGGAATGCTTCGGTGGTTTGGCCATGTAGAAAGAATGAATGAGGAAAGAGTGACAAAGCAAATCTATGTTGCAGAGGTGAAAGGCATAGTCGGGAAGGGTCGCCCTAGGCGAAAGTTTATTGACCAAATTGGCGATTTATTAAAAATGGGCCATATCAAGAGTACCTTTAACCGACGAGCGTGTATGCGTAGGTATATGGATGTGGAGGAAGCGAGAGAGGTGTGTCAGGATCGTGCCAAATGTAAGTCCATAATCTCTGCCTAACCCTCTGGGTGACAGGCGTGAGTGTTTATGTTTATGAAAACAGTTGGATCGATAAGTCAAATATATTATAATAGGCTTACTGACCACTGTGTTTAACATTAAGAACAAATATGAAAAAATGGTATATTTAATAAATATCCCAAGCGCGATTAAACAGTGTTATGATGTGCATTGGCGAGAGTAGTCTTCTCAATTGGTTGATTAATAATTTACCATTTGAATTACTTTTACCGGGATACAATTATTGTGGTCCTGCAAATTTAATCAAAAAACTATCACGTGGAGTCAAAGGTATAAACAAATTAGACGAATATTGTAAAGAACACGACATTGCGTATCACAAATATTCAAACTTAAAAGATCGACATAAGGCGGATTTAGTTTTGTTAAAAATGGCAAAAACACGAGAGATTGCTCCCGATGCAAATTTGGGAGAAAAGTTAGCAGCAAAGATAGTAAGCAAAGCTATGCAATCAAAAATTAAAACTGGGGCTGGCCTAAATAATGGCAATAGTAATAAAATGTCTCCGAGAAAGTTGGGTAATGAATTTAAAAATAAGTTTAAGAATATCATTACAAAAACGAAAAGACGTATGCAAAAATTAAAACCAAAATGCAAGAAAGCAGCAATTGAGCTAGCTATAGCTGCTGCTAGAGAACTAGTTGATAATTCTGTTATAAAACTTCCTCGCATTATTCCTATACCAAAAAACCTTTGATTCCGATTTTTGCCGGATTATCGGCTATGGGAGCCTTAGCAGGTGGTGCAGCTGGTATACTTAAAACTATAAATGAAAATCAAAATGGCTAAAAAACAATTTGCTGAATTGAAGAGACACAATGAAAAAATAGAAGCTCTTTGTATCGGAAATGGTTTAAAGTTTAAGCCTCATAAAAATAGATTTGGCATTTTTGTATATAAAGAAATAAAAAACTAGAATATAGGCTACCCAAACGCGCCTTAACTAACATTGACATTTTAAAGTATGGAAAAAATATTCCCTATTTTCGAGGTGTCTTTATGAGAGATGAGCTCCCAACACACCCTTTAAAAAAGAATGTGGAGTTATAAATATATATGTGAATTGATAAAATATTTAGGTCCTAAAAATCACTATAATTATGACAACATGCAGCGTGATCATCCTTTTAATTGTGGACATCTTTGTTTGATTTTTTTGGAGAATTTTTGGCGTAATCAAGACATAAAATAAACAAGAACTTCATAAATTGCTCAGTATACAAGCATGTCTATAACAGTTACTATCTCAGGAAATAAATCAGAATTGGATTCCTACTTTCAACCGCCTCTGAGTTTATCAGGTGAATACGAGTGCGGTTTACTATATTTTTCAGTAATAAACTCAACAACAAAATATTCTTATGTTGATAGCAAGTTCCCATCTGTGATCAGAATCAAATGTGATCTCATATACGGTTCATATTTCAACCAACGGTTACCTACTCATATTATTCACGAATTTGTATCTAAAACTGCTGCAGATAATCAATACATAGAAATACCTCAGAACGTTATTTACTTCCCAGTGAATAAAAATAATATTACATCTATAACTATTAAAGTTTAGATCAATTTGGCTACAGAATTAATTTCAAAGAACAATGTATTGAAATTCACCTCAATTTGAGGAAAGTAAAATGATATTGCACTATAAAAACCCTACAGTCTACTTAAAGCGCCCTATTACTTCTACATTCACTAAGGTGCGAAGACGTGAGAAAAAATTTAAGACCTTGAGTAAAAATAATAAAGATTTTCTAAAGTCCTTAGGATTTAAAGTATGAATATACTACAGATTAATGACTTACCAAACTTCGATACTTCTATTGAAAGTTATGAAGTCCATTCTTATAATCCATATAAAACAGCTTTAGAGAAAACGGTGAAATAAGGATTCCTATACATCAGCAAGACATATATGTATTACCATCAGCCAGTTCAATTTACATCAAAGATCGTGCAAAGCTCTTCAGCAAAGATGGAAACTAGATTAAAAAACCTGTTACGTTCAGTAATAATCCTATTATGTTCTTGTTTCAAGACATAAGGTATGAGATAAATGGAATCGAAATAGATCGTATTAAAAATGTTGGTATAACGTCAACAATTAAATCATACATTTCAATGAATGAAGCAGAAAATAAAGTAGCAGCTTTGTGGGGTTGGGATATGGATGGATTTAAAAGTGAAAACGGTGATTTTAGTGCTACTGTACCTTTAAATAAGATTTTAGGGTTTGCAGAAGATTATGCTAAAATTACAAATGCAGAAGTAATTCTAACATAAATAGTAAGTCATTATAGGAACTGAAGGTGTTGCACCTTTTCAAACAGACATACAAAGAATACAATGGCGAGTGCCACATGTGAAAGTATCAGATCGTGAACGACTGAAACTTCTTAAACATTTAGAAAGAGATAAACCTACACAAATGGCGTTTAGAAATTGGGATTTATATGAATACCCTTTACTTCCTACAGCAACTAAGCATTCCTGGTCTATTAAGACTGCGTCACAATTAGAGAAACCTCGATATGTAATTTTTTGTTTACAAACAAACAGAAAAAATCAAAAAAATGAAAGACTCTTCAGTATTTGGTCACTGTGGAGTGAGAAATGTGACATTGTTTTTAAATTCACAATATTACCCATACGAGCCCTTATGTTTAAAGATTTCCGAAAACAAATTTAATATATTATACGAAATGTATGTGAAATTTTGCCAGTCGTACTACAACTGTCCCGCAGACCCATTGTTTGATTTAAGTAGCTTTAAGGAGAAGGCTCCACTATTTGTGATAGATTGTTCAAGACAAAACTACAGTCTAAAAACAGGACCCGTAGATGTTCGTTTGGAGATTGAATGTACAACGGCAATACCAGAGAAGACAACTGGATATTGTTTAATCATTAACGATCAACTTGTGGAATATAAGCCTTTAAGTAACATAGTGCGCAAGTTGACATGACTGCTATCGTAGATGTCCAAGGTTTCAAAACAGAAAGAAATGAATTCATAGTGAAAGTGCAATATTGTGTAACAATAAAATACAACGAGTTTTAATTAAACCACCATTTCCTTTTTACAAATTGACTGTAAAAGAAAAAAAACATGTAAATTGGATTCAACCTAATAGAAAGATATATTGGTGTGAGGGAGTAACACCTTATTTAAATTATCAGAATTCGATTGCAGATAATATAAATAATAAATGTATATAAGTCAAAGGTTTAGAAAAAGTTTTATGGTTAAAATCCATCTCACAAAATGATAATATAATTAATTTAGAAGATAAAGGCTGTCCTAGTTTGTTAAATCAGTATGATCGATATAAAGATTGTAAAGATTTGTATAGTTGTATTAATCACGACTCAGTATGTGCTTTGAAAAATGTTTTTTGTTTAAATAAATGGTGCTCTGATAACAAAATTTGAAATATTCTTTATTTTATTTCATAGAAACTCTCCACCAGCAACTTTTTTAAAATGTTAATAAGGAATCAGCGCAGCTTTGCAGCTTCATTATACTCTTGCAACCAGCAAGATCAAACTTCCACAAAGCATGAGGGACATGTCTCAAAACGAATACAGACCCCGATATAGTTTATATGATTCATATAAAACACGCTTATTTTCATTTAGTCATTATTGGGCAACGAGTGATTTAAGAGAAGCAGTGGTGAATGAAATGGCTGATGCGGGATTCTTTCATTTTGGCGATAGCATAAATGATACAGCTGCTTGTTTTTCCTGTGGAGGAGTTATTAGAGATTGGGAGATTTACGATGATC